AAAAAATCCACATCTACATCTAATGTCAATGATTGACTACCCCCACATGACGAGCAAAAGTACCCGGAACTAATACCCCATCACGATACCATTTTAATGTAACCAGTTTAAAAGATATTTTTCCTGCAAAATGGGGCAAATCAGTAATAAATAAAGACTTGATTAGCTACACATAAAGCCAAAGCAGTAATGCAGTAATGAGTAAAGAAACGCAAGAAACAAAAAGCTACACATAAAGCCAAAACAGTAATGAATAAAGAAATAAAAAGCTAAACATAAAGCCAAAGCAATTCACAATATTAAAATCAGGTGTAAAAATAAAAAACTAAAAAATCCCCTAACTTTAGACACCATTTACAAAGAGCCGAATACAACAAACAATAAAACACTCTTAAAAAGCAGAAAACGACAAATAGAAAGTAACATAGAGAATGACAAAGGATTCCCCTTCAGAAAAGTACAAAACCCTAAATCGACTATACATAATAACAAAAAACAAAACCCACAGGCACTGGAGCGAATAAAATGTGCACACCTCACCTTAAGGACTTGAAATCAACCGCTTGTGAGTGGTAAAATTACCTGATGCAGATCATATCTACATGCACTCGACGGATCTCCTTCAACGACTTCAGTGGAAAAAGAAAGAAGAGTCGAGAAATGGGGTTATTTGCACTTAGGCTTTTAATCAGAGTGGGTCGGGTCGGGTAACATCTAATTGGTTTATTTGACAGATGGGTCGGGCATTATAATAGTCAATGGTTAGTCAAGCGCGTGTAATATACCCTATGAATTATTAAAAGGGCTAGTCAAGTTTGGGGGGTCTTAGACACACTTGAAAAAAAGGTTAGATGTGTAAAGCTTTTGTCACGACCCAAAAATCCCTCCGAAGGACTCGTGGTGGCACCTAGTCTTTAAACTAGGTAAGCCTAACATTTACGGAGATAACACTTACATTTGCTAAATTTAAATTAAATGACCCTTAACAAATTACAATTCCCAAAACCGGTGGTACAAGTCATAAGCCTATCTAAGAGTAGTTACACAAAATACATACATCATTGTTCCGAAACAAGAGGAACAAGTGGAAATAAGTACAAATGAAGGTGACTCCGAGGCTTGCGAACGCTGCCGTAGGTTTAGCTTGAGTCTCCACCGCAACGACCCGCACAACTACTATCGATCAAATACCTGGATCTGTACACAAAAATGTACAGAAGTGTAGTATGAGCATACCACGGCGGTGCCCAGTAAGTATCAAGACTAACCTCGGTGGAGTAGTGATGAGGAACAATCCAAACACCTACTGGTCAAATAAATTGAACAGGATATGATAATAACTATCAACCTAAAGATGACAAAGTAATATCAATAGCATGGAAAGAACAAACTATAATCAGTGAAACAATAAAGAGAAACACAGATGGAACGAAAGATAACCAAATAAATTAACATCAACATAGCTAGAACACAGACAAGTAAAAATGTACTCAAATAAGGAAGGCGATGTCAGCTCAATAGATCATATCATTTCTGATGCACAATTCCAGCCATCTTAAACTCGAAGTCTCATATCATAAGCTAAATTACCAAACTTTTAGCACACCCGGCACCTTGTGCCCACATATTTCTATCTCTATTTACACAACAACGTTCTCATGTTACTCAGTACATAGGGTCCATAATCAACGCAATTAAGATGTTCAAGGAGTCTCATTTACATAACATAAAGTAGAATAGAACTTCTAAGCTAATTATGAACTCAGTAAGAAAAGATGAAATTATTTTTAGAAATCATTTGAATAAATAAAGTACCATTTTCAATTAAAATACGACGTCGAAAGAATTATTACCTTTGTCATGGGATTTAAGAAATTAACTTAGTAGAAATCCCCTTTTAAGTAAAATACAACCTCAAACGGATTAAGGGAATTTATTTGAGTAACTAATTGAATTAAAAAATGAAATAATTATTGAAATTCGAAGTATTGAAATATATGTATAAATACGGCGAAGTATTGAAAACTCTATGGAGTTCCATCACAAGAGTCACAGCAGTAAAGAAATCTGAACAATTAACACTCTTGAATTGATAGCTACAAAGAAACACGACAAACAGAAAGTGCACGGCATCACCCTTTGTGCTTTATCACTCTTCATCACAATATGCATAAATAGAAATATGCACGGCATCACCCTTCGTGTTTTACACTCTTCCTCACAATATCATGCACGACATCATCCTTCGTGCTTTTACTCTCAATAATGTGGCACGGCATCACCCTTCGTGCTTTTACTCTCAATAATGTGGCACGGCATCACCCTTCGTGCTTTTACACTCTTCCTCACAATATGCATAAATAGAAATGTGCACAGCATCACCCTTCGTGCTTTAACTCTCTCTCACAATATCATGCACGGCATCACCCTTCGTGCTTTACACTCTTCCTAACCCAAACAATAGAAACAATAATATCACGGCAAGGGAATCAACAATAGAAAGAATAACATCCCGGCAAGGGAATCAACAATAACCAATCTTGTTTCACCAGTTAGCTTCACAATATAGATCTCAACTCGAGTCAATACTCAACAATGGTCAATTACCAAGAGAATGTCATAAGTCTTGTTCCACATGAATAATCGTCAATTTAAGCATGAATAGTACCTAATAAGGATCACGAAAAAACCAAGAAGCACAATAACTTTAACTAAACAACAAGACACAATAAGCACGTGATAACTACACCGGTACCCACAACAATTGGACATATAACATATTTGCACGAAGTCATAGAGAAACTCACAATCAAGAAGTATCAAAACAATAAGGAAGGCAATCACTTCAATTAAGGCAATTAAGGGGCAAGTAACAAGTAGGAATTAGAGGAAAGCTAACAACATCGTATGGAGCATATAGAAGTAAATTAAGCAATTAGGAAACTCAATCATAACGGAATACTTCCCACATAATGAACATAAGGACCTAAGAATCCTAAAGGAAAATTTCCCACAAATAAGTCCGATTGCACACACTCGTCACCTCGCGTGCACGGACTACAATTAGCATAGAAGACTCAAATCCTAAAGGGAAGTCCCCCACACAAGATTAGGCAAGATACTTACCTCAATCTGGCTAATTCAATACTCAATTTAGCTTTTCCTTTACCAATTCATCAGCGCTCGGCTCTATCTAGCCAAAAACGACTTGAATACATCAAACAATGCAAGAGAAAACAATTTCAATTAACAAAACTATGATTCTTATACAATTTGTAAAAAGTCAACAAAAGTCAACTCCCCGGGCCCGCACCTCGGAACCCGATAAAATTTATAAAAATCGAATACCCATTCCGCTACAAGTTCACCCATACAAAAATTATCTAATTCCAATACCATTTGGTCATTCAAATCATCATTTTTTATTTTTGAAAGATTTCACAATTTCCCCAAAATTTTCCTTTAGATTACCATGAATTTGATGTTAAATCTAAGATATAATCACAAAATATAGTTAGAAATTGATTAGAGGCACTTACCCAATGATTTGGAGAAGTTTGGGTCTTTGGAAAGTAGCCCATGGAGGTTTAGGGTTTGAGAAAATTGAAAAATTGGGTGAAAATCTCGTCAAAAACCTCACTTAACAGGCCTCAGATGTCGCATTTGCGACCCAGGGTTCGCAATTGCGAACAAAGCAGGGCTGGCAGAAGTCGCATTTGCGACAAAAAGTTTGCATTTGCGAACTGGGCATCGCAAATGCGATGAAAAAGTTCGCATTTGCCAACACACCAGAAACCAACAATTTTTCCCAACACGAAAATGAGCATAACTTCCTCATACGATTCCAAATTCGATGATTCTTTTTCCTATGGCTCCGTAATTTCATTACGGATCTAATGGTTCAAATAAAATTGAATTTGGATCTCATTTGCTCAATGTGTATTATTTTTGCTTGAAGAAACGACGATGAAGCATCCAAAAACAAGTGCAACATAGCCTAAACCTATCCGAAACTCACTCAAGCCCTCGGGGCTCCAAACCAAACATGCACGCAAGTCTAAAAATATCATACGGACTTGCTCGTACGATCAAATAATCAAAATAACATCAAAAATTACAAAAATAACATCAAAAATTACAAAAATTAAGGACACTCAAATTTTCTAATTTTTCAACCGGACATCCAAATCATGTCAAATCAATTCCGGTTCTCACCAAATTTTACAGATAGGACTTAAATATCATAACAAACTTGTACCGGGCTCCAGAACCAAAATACGAGCCCGATACCAACGAGTTCAAACATTAATTCATTCTTTTATTTCCTTTAAAAACCAGCATAACAATTTTCTTCAAAAATTATTTTCTAAGGCTAGGGACCTCGGAATTCAATTCCGGGCTTACGCCCAAGTCCCACATTTTACCGCGGACCTCCCCGGATCGTCGGGACATAGATCCGGGTCCGTTTACCAAAAATATTGACCAAAGTCAACTAAAAACCAAATTTTTAACTCTAGAAATTACTATATTTTTTTCATATTTTCATTAAAAGCTTTCCGGTTTCACACCCGGACTGCGCACGCAAGTCGATACACATAATATGAAGCTGCTCGTGACCTCAAACTGCCGAACCGAACGTAATTGCTCAAAACGAACAGTTGGGTCGTTACAGCTTTACCCATATTTGTTGAATGTGTAACACAGATTTGACTAAAAGGTTCATGGGTCAACTATACATACCAATAAAATACTATGACAAATTTTAACAACAATAAAGCAAACCGAGTGCAATAACTTTTAAACTTGAATCCATAAAATTCTAAACCCGGTCCTCCTCTTAGTGGAAGTGTTTCCGATCCGACGAGACTAATCTACATGCACCTCGCTCAAAATAGATAGATATTGGCTGCAACCAGGGCCAATGAAGCTATCCAGACAAGTATAGGGTTGGTACTGTAATTAAAAAAAATTACGACGACCGTATGTTAAAATAAAAAATCAGCTCTTTCTTTCCGTTCCCAAATTTTAAAACTCTAAATAGTTCAAATCCTACATCAGAAAAAAATTCATACTAAAATCGAAAACGTTACTGCAACACTGTCGGTTCTTCACCTCAAATCTTGAATCTTTCCTCAACGGCTTCTGTCGGTTTGCTTCAGTTCAAAAGTTTCCCTTTCTGGGTCGTCTTGTACATATATATATTTATGTGAGTTTGTGTGTTAATGTTACAATATCGTTACTTTTTCATTAGTTGGATACTAGTAAAATTGTTCAATCCCTTTTAGCTTGGTGGCTCTTCAAAAATTGAGACTAGTTTTGAGTTTTTCATGTAAGCTGAATTTTCTTGATTACTTTTTTTTCTTCTGAATTTCACATTTTCTTGAACTTGTATTATGAGCTGATTCTTTAACCCTTATGATATTGGGACACTTATATGAATGAAAAATTGGTTTAAATTTCTTTGATGACAGGTAAATTAGGTGCTTTATTGGCTAAGTATTAGTATGTCGCTGTTAAGTAGATTTTTCTATAGAAGGCCCCCAGATGGGTTGCTGGAACTTGACGATAGAGTATACGGTAAAAGAACCAATTTTGACTTGATAATGTGCTTGATATTCTACATTTTATTGAATACTCGAAGTGCATTGCATTTTTCTCAAGTTTTTTTTTTCTCTTGTGTTGAATGTCTGCAGTTTTTGATTCTTGTTTTTCCACTGAAGTACTGCCTGAGGGAATTTACCAGCTTTACTTGCACGAAATCATAAATGAACTGCACGAAGAATTTCCAGATTCCTCCTTTCTTGCTTTCAATTTCAGAGAAGGCGAGAAAAGGAGCCAGTTTGCCGAGATTTTATGCGAGTATGATGTAACTGTAATGGATTATCCAAGGCAATATGAAGGCTGTCCTGTACTGCCTTTGTCTTTGATCCATCATTTTCTATGTGTCTGTGAGAGTTGGCTTTCTCTTCGAAATCATAATAATGTGATTTTGTTACACTGTGAGAGAGGTGGTTGGCCCCTTCTAGCCTTCATTTTGGCTAGTTTCTTGATTTTCAGAAAGTTACAAAGTGGAGAGAGAAAAACTCTCGAGATGGTTTATCGTGAGGCACCTAAAGGTTTATCACAATTATTGTCACCTCTGAACCCATTCCCTTCTCAGCTTCGTTACCTACAATATATATCAAGAAGACATATATCTTCCGAGTGGCCTCCTCCTGAACAAGCTCTTTCTCTCGATTGCCTCATTCTTCGTGCCATTCCAAGATTCGACAATCAAAAAGGGTGTAGGCCAATTGTCCGCATTTTTGGCCGGAACCTTCTTAGCAAGGATGGATTGTCAACTCATATGTTGTACACCATGCCAAAGAAAGGTAGAAGTCTTCGACATTATCGCCAGGTAAAAGAACTGCTGTCACTGCATCATGTTTCTTGTCTTCTTCAATTCTGCTGTGTGGCAACATGATTGTTATCATTTTGCAGAAGGACAGTGATGTCATCAAGATTGATATTCAGTGTTTGGTGCAAGGAGATGTAGTATTGGAGTGTGTCCACTTAGACCTGGACCCTGAAAGGGAAGTCATGATGTTCCGTATAATGTTCAACACAGCTTTTATTCGGTCCAACATTTTAATGTTAAACTGCGATAACTTGGATATTCTATGGGATTCAAAGGCACGCTATCCAAAAAGCTTTCGAGCTGAGGTGAATACTTTCTTGTGTCTGTCTGATTAGTGTTGGTTAAGTGGATGATCTTTGCTCTCCATATTTCTCCTCTAATTTTATACATTCTGCTCACAGGTTTTATTTGGTGATGTTGAGAGCATATCTCCTGCAAAAGTTCCCACTGCAGCTCTAAATGGTGAGGAGAAAGGTGGGCTTCCTATCGAAGCTTTTTCAAGGGTACAAGAACTTTTTAGTGGTGCTGATTGGGTTGATACCGGCGATGATGCTGCGTTATGGTTGTTTAAACAACTATCAGTGTTGAATGATATGAAAGATTTATCAATTTTGCAAAGTAGGATGAGTGGGTATTCGTCCCCATTTGACTCTGAAGAAGAAAATAATGCATCGAGTATTGCTGACAGTTTGGACTTTCTGGACTCAGAGAAAGCTAGTAATCTTACTTATGCTAATACAACAGACATCAATTTTTTAGATGAACAGGATTCAGCTTCTGATGAAACTTCTGATCTGAAGATTTCTGAGGATCAAGTGAAGCTTTCAATGTCAGATATTGGTCCTGTTCAGTCTCCTTCTGAAAATAACAGTCAATTGGATGCTGCCATTGCTCCTGAACATTCAAAGGAAGTTCGAGATTGCGATACAAGAACTTCCTCTTCTTCTCCATTACCTTCACCAACTTCGTCACCTGTCCATGTTATTTCTAGTACAAAAGTCCCTGAATCATCAGCACCATCTCCCCTACCCTCTGTGTTTGGTTCTCCTAGCAAGGAGGTTTCATTACCTCCACCACCACCACCACCACCTCCTCCTATATTTGGTGGCCCTTCTTCTGTCCCGCGTCCTCCTCCGTTTCCAGCACTTGCAAGTTCTAAAAGATCACCTCCACCACCACCACCGCCACCACCTTCAATCGGTGGTAATAGAGGACCTTCACCGCCAAGAGAACATACTTCTTCAACTTCCCCTGATAGCTTTGCTAGAGAACCTTCGCCACCTCCACCACTTCCAAATAAGAGCTTTTTAGGCACCCCTGCTCCTCCACATCCACCTCCTGTCCCTACATTTTCTACTGCTCGTAGTCCTCCGCCTCCGCCTCCACCTCCCCCTCCTCCTCGGAGGCCATCTAACTGTAATTTATCACCCCCTCCTCCTCCCCCTCCTTTTGTCTCTTCCAAGTTCCCCCCTTTATCTCCTCCACCACCACCACCTCTCCCTCCACCTTCCGTGTCATTTAGGTGTACGCCGTTGCCTTGTGTAACTCCCCCGCCTCCCCCACCTCCCCCACCCCTTCTGTCTCTTTCAAGGGCCCTCCACTTCCACCACCACCACCACCACCGACTTCTTCCTCTACATCAAATAGGTCAACTCCGTTGGCGCCTCCACCACCTCCACCTCCACCTCCACCTTCATCCTCTACATCAAATAGGTCAACTCCGTTGGCCCCTCCACCACCACCTCCACCTCCACCTCCACCAAATAGGTCAACTCCGCTGGCACCTCCACCACCACCACCTCCACCTACAAGCAATTCTAAAAGGCCACCTGCACCTCCTCCACCTCCTTTGGGAGTTCCTAGGCAAGGTTCAACTCCACCCGCACCTCCACCAGCACCAAAGGCTCCTAATGCTCCACCACCTCCTAGGCGGGGTTTGACACCCACTCCACCTCCACCACCTGGTGGAAAGGGACATAATGTGCCACCACCACCACCTTCATCTACTGGACGTGTAAGAGCCTCCCTAGGCTCAAATGCTCTAGGGAAAGGGCGAGGTGCAGGAGGTACGTCAATTCCTCCTAAAAAAGCTTCATTGAAGCCTTTACATTGGTCGAAAGTTACAAGGGCCATGCAAGGGAGTTTATGGGCAGATACGCAAAATAAGGAAAATACATCCAGGTATGCACATTTTACTTTGGGCGATGAGAAATTACAATGAAAACTTTCTGGATCATTTCAATTTAAACGCAGATCATAACGTTTGCTATTTATTTTGTGTCGTGAAACTCCGTCACAGGTCATCATTAGGCTAGTTCTGAGCACTATACCCTAGCTTGCATGGGATACTGCAATTTTGTTATTTGTCTCTTTGTTATGGGAAGTTCTGATCAAACCTTTTTAATGTATGTGACAGAGCACCTGAAATTGATATTACAGAGCTCGAAAATTTGTTTTCGGTGGCTTCAGCTACTGATGGAACTAGCAAAGGTGGAGCTCGACGTGGTTCCAAAATCAACAAACCAGAAAAAGTGCAATTGGCAAGTTATATATGCTTTATCTTGTTTCCAGTCTCTATAATCGTTAAATGTGCTGATGATTTGCTATTAAGCAAGTTTATTCACTTTTTCTTAAATGAGCAAGGCACACAATGGACATGTAGGATGAAAATGCCCTGTTTCCTTTGTATATTTCACTCACTACCTTATCTGTTTTGTTGGAGATACTAATTCATTTCTGTCTTTGTTCCCTTCCTTTGGCACTCACTCTCACTTTAGAGTGCTTTATGTGTTAACAGCGTTTTTCGCTTACATGTGTGGACATTTTTCTCTTTAGGCTCAAATTAAACCCTAAACTCCTCCAGTCTGCAGAATTGGATATGTAATGGAGGATAATATAATCTAGCTCATCCACTTTCTTCTCCTTCCTTTTTATTCCCTGCACGGACAAGGAAGCCGAATCTTATCTTGTTAGCTAATCCTTCTCCTATTGATGCTCCTTACTTTCCTCATAGCCAAATAGGCACAATGGTTCTTAATGATGCTTGCTGCTCTTGACTAATGGTAATTGAGCGTAGAAGTTACATTTATACATGGCACTGTAGTTCATAGATTTATATTAAATCATCTGTCATTGAAGGGGAGCCTTGCGTAACTGGTAAAGTTGCCTTCATGTCCAGGAGGTCACGGGTTCGAGCCGTGGAAACAGCCTCTTGCAGAAATGCAGGGTAAGGCTGCGTACGATAGACCCTTGTTGTCCGGACCTTCCCCGAACCTCGCACATAGCAGGAGCTTAGTGCGCCGAGCTGCTCTTTCATATCAAATCATTTGTCATCAGTTGCCCATGCAATTATGCTTTTTCTTCTTGCCCAAATAAAACATTTGACATTGCGTCTTTGCCTATTTTGAAAATGCATCACATTTATAAGGTCTAAAGACATATTAAAGTGTCAATAACCTTCCATAACTAGTACATGTAAGATGATTGTTTCAATGATTTAAACTCAAGAGGAGTTTAGAAGTAAAGACACACCTTGGACCACATAAATTTTTTGAAATGAGAAATTGACTAAATTGCTACTAGTGCCAAATTACCATGATATTCTTGAAGTACTTGGTAGGACTGTACTCTGGCCAGCTAACAGTGTTGTAACAATATCAGTAGTAAATCCGATCCAGAAATTGAGTGTTGCCACCCCGTGACCTTCACTTTCAACGCATCTAGTATTGGATGATAATTCAAAAGTTCTCTTGCTTGTTTCCTTAGGCAGCCGTGTTACCTCCACTTTGGACTTCCCAAAACACGTAATTTCCACCCAGCCAGCTAATGGCTTCTGCGCTATTGAGACAGTCTTGTGACGTGTCAAATCTATTGAGGATACTATAACCTTCTTCATGTATATTTTATATCTTTTTCTTTTTTCAAAAATGAAAAGTAAGTGAAGTTACTCTTGGAGTCATAGCCAAGTCCTCAGTTATGGCCAAATTGGAAGGGTAGGGATGCCTCTTGGACTCATTTTCCTGATAGGCACTATCAAGCAAGTTTTTCATGTAGTTAGGAGAATGTTGTAGGATGAGTATGGGTCTCTTTCTTTCACTAGTTAAATAAAGATATTAAGAATTTTGGATAGGTTTTAAAGAGGGTTTTAGTGGTAAGCTGTGGCTAACAACGTGGAAAAGAAGTTGAAAGTAAGGCCTTAAATGGTTTTAACATAGGTGAAGTTTGGAAGCAAGCATATTAAGATAGAGAAGAACTTGTGGTTGCTGGACTCAGATATGGATGATGAAATGATGAACTTTGGGTGGAAACTTTCTACTTTTTTCCATCCGAGAGGTAACACCATTTCTGTTTCAGGAAAGTTAAGTTAGTTATCTTTGACTGTAGAATGGAGGGATATCCTAGTGGTAAGGTCCTTCTCCTCCGACCATCCGGTTGAGGGTTCGAGTCACAAAGGGGTAAAGATGGGAAGACCACTTGGGCCTCCTAGGCATAGGTAGTAGGTTTGGAGGATGGGTCCATCATATCAAAAATATTTCAAATGGTTATCTTTTGAAAATTTCTTAGAAGTTGTTTTAGTAGTTTGTAATATTAATTCATGTAGCGAAGTCATTTTATAGGTTGCGATACATGTCTAGATGGATTAGAATGAAAGGGTTGCGGAGGCTGTGCTCAAACATAGACGCGTCCCGTTGGGATGGCCATTGACCATGAATGAATTGCAGTTCACTTGCTACTTAATTTATCTTTTAGTGCTAATTTGAAAGAGATAAATCTCTTCTATAGAAAGAAACATTTTCTTTAAAGCTTTCACTATATATAATGAGATCACTATGGAATAATTGGTGAACAGTCTATTGGGTGTTGGCTTCTTTTTCTACCGGGAGTCCATTTTACAGAACTCCCTCTGTTTGTAGTGAAAGACTAAGACTGGAAGTGTTTAATTTTGGTTTAACTTGTTAAAGAACGGGAATTATTTCTTAACATATGCTTTTGTCAGGTTGATTTGCGCAGGGCGTACAATTGCGAAATCATGCTTACAAAAATCAAGATTCCCCTGCCTGATATGCTGGTGAGTTCTTTTAGCATCTTCTTGTTTCTACTATCAACTTCAATATAGTCCACAGGTCTGTCTTTTGACCAAACTTTTTTATTGTTTATCATATGAAACAATTATATCATCTTTATTTGGCTTTAGGTCAATCAGAAACTTTTGAAATCGAGCTGCTTATAATTTTAAAAGTGACACAAATTAAACTACCAAAAAAAGTAATAATGACTCGTTATGCTTTTATCAGTTGTAATCAAGTAACAAATAACATATACAATTGAATGTATATACTTTAAGACTTTAGTTTTTCCAAAAGATTACAATTTAGTATTTTAGTTCTTGTCCCTTTGTACATTTGCTAAATCTATAGAAGTATCTGAAGAACCAAATAGATACAATATTATGCAAAAATATTGAATCAACATCATGGGATTGACAAAAAGATGGTTCTCAACAAATAAAGAATAAGATCATAGTATGTCTTGAACTCTAAATTGAAAGTGAAATATACTTTATTTCTGCTTAAAAAGAATGATATGCCGATTAACTATCTATATCTCTACTCAATAAAAGAACGAAGAACGAATCCCAAACTGGTCGGGGTTGGCTATGTGAATCATCTGTATCCATATTGCTCTATGTCAATCATCAGGTCTTAATCAAAAGAGATATGGTAGTTTGACTATTTTTATGAGAGCCGTTAACCTATCACAATTCTCCTTGTAATTCAATTTCAAGTTAGTTATGCTTTTCTCATATAGGTGGAGTTCAATAGGCACCTACGAGTGTGGCCTAGTGGTCAATTAGGTGGGAAAGGCCATAGGATTTTAGTTCAAATACGAACAGAGGCAAAAAGGCAGTTTATCTGATCTGATTAAATTTTGGTGGGCAGAGTTACCCATACCTATGCCGATTGGAGGTATCGTGTACCCTATAGATTAGTGGAGGTGCGCGCACAAGTAGGACCGGGCACCATTGTCATTGAAAAAAAAGAAGAAGAGAAATAGACGGAGTTCAATGTAATGAATAAAAAGAGAAAATGAGTTATATATATTGTGAAAATAGAAGTTACTGAAGAAAGAACTAGCTGTAGAACTACTGATCAAAGAGACATATTTATTCTCTTATATTCTTAACAACTTTAGAGAGTTGAAAAGATCATGTAATTTCACCAGACTTGAGGAGATAAAAATTAAATGTTAAACTCAATTGGTGCATTTCTGTTGAAATGCAAAAGAATCACTAAAGATATTGTATAAAATATTCTATCCTTTGGCTTTGTTGTCAAATCGTATTGTAGTAATGTACAGTAATAATATGCCGATTCATGCATGTGTTCAGTCAGCGTGGTGAACATTCTTTAGGGATGCTCATGCATGGTTTCTTAGGATGGTTTTTTGTTTGTCTTTTTTGAGTTTGATGGAGGTAGACTGAAAAGGGCTAGATATGCCCCTGTACTATCAGAAATTAGTTATAGGTAGCCCCCGGTATACTATTCAACACTATCTACCCCTGCCGTTAGCCATTTTAATATTTTGCCCCTACATCTAACAGACCCATGTTTAAGGACACGTTGCACGATTTTAAACAGCCTAACCAACTAACCCGTTTACCCTACCCGTTCAGCCCCGACCCGAAAGGCAGAAGAAGCTTTGACTAACTCTCTTCCTCTTCAACGACTGCCACCCCTACACCATTCCTCCCTTGAATAATTACCAGTAAAAATTCATAAACAAAAAATAGATCTCTTCTTCCTAATTTTTCAGGGGAATTGAAATAACCCCACAAAAAAGAAAAAACCTTTGTTCAATATTTTCTCTATCACAAGTTGGCCCTTTGATTCCATTTTACTTATTCATTGACCTCACCTCTTTGGGATTAGTTTTCTGGGTTTGACTTTTGAAACTGAGTGCCATTGAATGGTTTAAATGAGGAATCTTGGTCTTAGGTGTGGATGGTCAGGAATCATAGAACAGTCGGTTTGGGTGATCTCGGTATTTCTATGCTTAATTAGGTTACTTATGAACTTGTCATCGGTTGCCGGTAATGCTGAAGCTTTATATCTTGAGTTTCTTTGTCAAGATTTTGGTGAAGATGTGCGGAGTTAAAAAGATGTTAACTTTTTGATACAAATTTGGTTTTGTTAGCTTAATCAAATTGACTGTTCAATTGGCTGTTGATGGGAAATTGGGAATCCTCTTTACATAAAATATTGAATTGCAGCTTATTGGTCAAGTCTGATACTATTATATGAAGGATTTAAGTTATATTTAGTAGGTTACCTGTAGTTCCTTCCATTGACCACCACCCATCTCCGCCTAAAACCACCAACTTAAGAACCAAAAAATATGTAACGACAACCATAGCATCACCACTGAAACAGAGCATACAACCACCCCTTTTCTTCTTTATTTACATCGTCCCCACCTAGAGACTTCACCATAAAACTACTCAACCAAAGCACCAACACTCCCGTTTGTTTCTTGTTTCTTGTTTCTTTTAGGAGATCTAAAAAATTTCGGTTTAATCTCTGTTGATCCGCAAATAGAATCCGAAAAATGGAGGGCGTGATTTCAACACAACGGCTGTATCATTTTTGATTGATTCTCTGTATGTTGAAGAATCAATAGCTGAACCTTCATGGAAAATAGTGCGGAACGGTTTTCAGGTCAAATGATTGGGGCCGTTGGGTTGGGGGCTGGATTGGGTGGATTTTGATATTAAAGAAAAAATGGTTTGGGTGTTTAAAATGCTGCCACGTGTCTGCACAGACTGGATCCGTTAATGTGAGGGGTAGATTTGTTAAAAAGGCTAACGACAGGGGTAGATAGTGTTGAATAGTATAACGAGGGCTATAACTAATTTCTGATAGTTCAGGGACATATCTAGCCCTTTTCCGAAATATTTACCTTGAATTTCCTTTACTAATACAACAACTATGCCTTAGTCCCAAGCAAATTGGGGTTGGCTATATGAGTCCTCACGGACCATGTTACTCCATTTAAACTCATCTCATGCCAATATTATGCGAATACAATGCGAATACAAATAGGATTTCTTTTTACTAAAAATTTCTGGATTTCTGACAAAATTAGTATATGCATGTTTTACAGAATGCTGTTTTGGCTTTGGATTCGTCAGCTCTGGACATTGATCAAGTTGAAAATCTGATAAAGTTTTGCCCAACAAAAGAAGAAATGGAGACACTGAGGGTACTATCCCGTTCTCATCCTGGCAGTGCTTGCCTATCATGGCAAAGTTTAGATCACAATAATATTTGTGTATTATGCATCTAGTCATTTATTTTGAGTTCATCAGTAATGTTAGAGATATCTTCTGAAATTAGCTTCAATTTTTGTTTAAGTCTCCTCGTTTAGAGATTGTTTAACTCTCCCCGTATAGAGAAATAATTCACATTGAAGTTCTTACCGATGGTACTTGGAGCCAAGACCAACACATTCACCTTTTGCATTTGTATTTGATTTTAGAATACTAGTTCAGCGCGAGTCATTGGAACCAGTGGTCTATGATTTTGTTGATGTGCCTTTTGTGTAAGTAGCTGTGCAGATTGATGCCCATAATTGAATGACCCATTTGGCAGTTGCATGCTTATATGGAGTATGTACTTGCATCTATGATGTGCAAGCTTACGTTTGATGACTCCCTTTCCTGGTGTCTGTGGATGTGTATATCATAGTCTGTTGTGTATACTTATTTCTGCTTGATTTCGCTTACCTTTATGAGTTTAGTTGTGCTAGTTTCTTAACAGTGTATACTTGCCATTTAACGACTAAAAGTTAATATTGGTTTCAAAATTTGATCTTACTGTTTATGTTCTATTTTCCAGAACTATAATGGGGACAAGGAAATGCTTGGAAAGTGTGAGCAGGTCTTCTCCAATTTGATTATATATATATATGGGAAACTACAAAATTCTTTAGCCTCCAAGTTATGAGTAATTAACTGGATTAATAACTGTTTCAGTTTTTTCTGGAGCTGATGAAGGTCCCACGAGTTGAGTCCAAGTTAAGAGTGTTTTCATTTACTATCACTTTTTCTAATCAGGTATTCACTCTTGTACTTGTTGGTGAACGAATGTCTATGCAGTCTGCCATTGATGTTTCTGTTAACTGTAATATCTTGAATTGTTCAGGTGACTGACTTGAGAACTAACCTAAGTACAATTAATAATGCTACTAGAGAGGTACATTTAATACCTTATGTAGTTTGATTTGGCACATTCTGATTTCAACTGATTCTAACTGCATTTCCTGATCAAGTAGGTGAAAGAATCAGCCAAACTACGTCAAATAATGCAGACCATTCTAACATTGGGAAATGCACTGAATCAGGGTACAGCACGAGGTACGCCTTTCTAAGCTCTAGATCTTCATACAAAAAATATTAGTTGTTTGGTGGAGGCTCTGTGAATTATCTTTTTTCTTGTAATTACATTGCAGGATCTGCTGTAGGGTTCAAGTTGGACAGTCTTCTTAAGCTTTCTGACACTCGTGCTAGAAACAACAAAATGACCTTGATGCATTATCTGTGCAAGGTAGAACTATTACCTTTATGTAAAGTTGCATCTTTTCAGATCATACTTGTTTCCTGGAAATTTCTTTATATCTTGTTGTAATTGCACAAAGACTGTTTTTGTTTATTGCTGTTCTTTTCTATTAAATGTCAGGATGTTACATTAGATACACAATCTTGAGCTCTAAAGTAGTGTATATGTCAATTAGCTCTAAATTGAGAGAGATTGAAGATGGCTTAAGCTTAAGTTGAATTAGATTAGTTTGGCTCAATGATGATTGATGAGCGGCTCAAGATTGGGTTGACAAAGTGCGAAGTTTATTTGAGCTCTATGTCATAACCTGCCAAAAATATTTTGCACATGCTACAAGGGCTGAGGTGGCCATGGACGGGGCTAACTGAGAAGAGGCGAGCGCTTTCAAGTAAGGGAAATTGGGGAAGCATTGGCATGGGCCATGGCTGTCACACATGGTAGTGTTAGCACAAGAGGATGGTGCGATGATGGAGCATGCAGAAGGCATGGTGGCCAGCGCGGTGAAGCGCAAGCGGGAGCGACAACGTGCAAGCAAGGCTTACATCATAAGTGTGGCATGGTGCCCGACAAGGGCAAGGTATGTGCATGAGGCTAAACACCAATGGATAGGGCATGTCATGTACGTAGGGTGATGCGCGAGGATGATAAGGTACATGTCAAGGGACGGGCGTCCAAGCATGGCAAGGTGCGCATAGGTGATGTGGAAGAATGACCAATAATGTGCCAAGAAAGCTTGAGTGGGTTAGCAAACTAGGATGTGCCATGGAATGTGTTGAGTTGTGTCCCACATCGGTGGGGAATGAGTGTCTTGGTCTCCTTATATGGTCTTGGGCTATCCTCATCTCATAAGCTAACTTTTGGGGTTGAGTTAGGCTCAAGTTCCATTCTTATCATGGTATAAGAGCCAGGCCCATCCCAATTTATTGTTACCGATGTTGGGGCCCCATTTATATTGTTACGCTCCAGTTGCAGGCCTTGGCGTGAGGGGGGTGTTGAGTTGTGTCCCACATCGGTGGAGAATGGGTGTCTTGATCTTCTTATATGGTCTTGGGCAATCCTCACCTCATAAGCTAGCTTTTGGGGTTGAGTTAGGCCCAAGTTCCATTCTTATCAGAATGCAATGGGTCTAGGGTGTGATGGAGTGCATTGGGCTGGGCATGGTCTAGGGCCCAACCCCCGAGGCCCGACCACCGGACAACAGAAGTGTCTAGAAAGCACTTAAAGGGTTCAGCATTGCTGCCCACGGGCACTCTGGTGGCCAACTTAGCCCCTAGCCCAACTTTTTGAGTCTGCAATGATCCTTTGGGGCTTATACCCCACCTTTTGTAAGCAAGCAACCCACCCATAGATCTAGGCATCTATCAATTCCCAAAGTCCTAACTGTAGTACTAAGCATTCTAAAGCCAATGTGTGTTCTGATGTCATGTACTCCTTCAAGCAAGCATTGTGCTGAAAGTTGTGTACTTGTGTTATAATAAAAATGCCAATTCCCTCACTGACCAAGTTATTTTCCAAGTCATCCATTGTCTCAAAGTGTCGTTTAAGCATTGCTAAACGCCACAGACGCAACTAACACTTCCAAAACCTCGAGGCATACTTTGTCTAAGTGTAGAGGCTTGCTTGAGTCAAGCCACACATGTGGGAAGCTAAACCTAGCGTCTATCATGGGGGATAATCCGACTAGGTGCTGCACCTGGCGCTAGTGAAATTGAAGGTCAAACATGAAACTAGGTATACGAAACTATCTTACAACAACAACAACTACCAACCAACCAACTCAGTAGTTTCCCACGAGTGGGGTCTGGGGAGGGTAATGTGTACACAGCCTTACCCCTACTCCTGGAAGGGCAGAGAGACCGTTTTTGGTAGATCCTCGGCTAGATAACGACTGAAAAAGAAAAGGTAATTGCAACAACTAGGAATAACAGCAAGATGAAATAAGATCGAATCCAAGAATGCAGTCAAACTCTAGGTAGTAATGGCTATCTATGAATAAAAGATATCACACTACACTAATGCTAGCGAACTGAGTAAAACAAAGAGGAACGCTCGTCTACCTACGAACCTTCTACCCTAATCTTTGACCTCCACACACTCCTGTCTAGGGCCATGCCCTCAGTCAGCTCCAGATGCGCTGTGTCCTGCCTAATAACCTCTCCCCAAGACTTCTTAGGCCTACCTCTACCCCTTCTGCTGCCCACTGAGGCTAACCGCTCGCACCTTCTAACTGGGGCTTCTGTACTTCTCCTCTTAATATGCCCGAATCCACCTTTTCCCGAATAACTTCATTCCTAATCTTATCCAACCGAGTATGCCCACACATCCACCTCAACATTCTCATCTCAGCTACTTTTAGCTTCTGGGTATGAGAGTTCTTGACCGGCCAATACTCTGCTCCATATAGCATAGTCGGTCTAACTACAACCTTGTAGAACTTACCTTTAAGTCTCAGCGGCACATTCTTATCACACAAGACATCAGAATCGAGCCTCTACTTCATCCATCCCGCTCCGATACGATGCGTGACATCTTCATCAATCTCCCCTGTTACCTTGTATTATAGATCCAAGATACTTGAAACTAACTCTCTTGGGGATGACTTGCGTATAAGCCTCACCTCCAAATCCTCTTCCTGGGTACCGTTGCTGAACTTGCACTCCATGTATTCCGTCTTGGTCCTGCTCAACTTGAAACCCTTAGACTCTAGGGTCTGCCTCCAAACCTTTAGCATCTCATTAACAACACCCCGCGTCCCGTCAATTAAAACGATGTCATCAGCAAATAACATACACCATGACACCTTACCTTCTATGTGTCTCGTCAATGCGTCCATCGCCAAGGAGAATAGGAATGGACCAATGCGTCCATCGCCAAGGAGAATAGGAATGGACCAAGAGCTGATCCCTGGTGCAACCCCATCATACGAGACTATCTTATAGAAATTAAATATTTCAAGCTTAAGCTATCTTGCCAAATGAAACAATTGTAAATAAAATACACAAAAAGAACCTACAAAATCACCCAAAGGAAGTCCAGATGTGTTTTATCAAAAGTAAAAAAATAAAAAGCAAAGAAAAGTCCATATGTGTATAGGTGTTTCTGTTGAGCACCTAAACAAGAAGAAGATGGTGTAACAAATCTATGAGAAAAGGGTTTCATTCATTATCAAGGAGAAGGAAGTCAAACTTCTAATGGTGAAAATCTGAAAACTAATCCTTATAAAGTTATCTGACAACTTAAGATTACCCACGGTATTAGCAGGATCAGCACCATTAGAAGAACTGCCACTTTTATGCCTTCTCAACTTTGTATAACTTTGGTGGCTAACATTCACAATAAAGTTCATGGGTAGCTTATTTTTTTGTTCATTTCCTATTTTTGTGCGGAACGGTGCTTATCCAGTGATACAAATCCGCGTTTTGTGATTTGAGAGATCCCTTTCCTTTTTATCGTGTAACTTCCTGTTCTAGGAATTGCTCTAAATAGGTTTGGTGGTCACATTAATTTTCCCTTTGCTGCTTTAGGTTCCTCTTCTGCATTAAATCTATCCGTCCCATGATCTTTTCCCCCCATTGAAGAGTCAAAATTTTAAGGTAATATTATTTGATGTGTATCTACCAATTGTGAAATCATTAAAGTTCCTAGTCCACTCTTCTTAGAAGTTTGCGGTGGGCCAAAACTTGTGTATGTTGAGGGAATGTTGGAACTTGGACTCTATTCTGGAACTTCCAGAAAGTGAAATTTTATTAAAATTTTGGAACAACATTAGACATTGCTCTGAGATTCCTTCCTGGTCCAACACTGTTGTTAGTCGATGAATCTGCTTACTAACTGATAGTACACAGTTTTGCAAATTCTGCAAGTTTCCTTGTGGATAATAGTATAACGGTTGGACTTCTCTTGTGTCTTAACTGTTTTTCCATATGTATGTTTCCGCTTTCCACTGCTATTCCAAAGATGTAAATCTGTCTTGTTTCTGTCAGCTCCTTGCTGAGAAAATGCCAGAGTTGCTTGATTTCGACAAGGATCTTCTTCACTTGGAAGCTGCTTCTAAGGTACCCTTGCTGTACATGATGGTCTTCACTTGCAGTAATATTAGTATAACGGTGAAACTGAAATGTTTGTTTTTCGTCATATTAATTGATTAGATCCAACTGAAGTCTTTGGCTGAAGAAATGCAAGCAGTGAGCAAAGGTCTTGAGAAAGTTGAACAAGAACTTACTGCATCCGACAATGATGGTGCAATATCTTCGGGCTTTCAGAAGGTGAGATAAGAGAATGGTAAAATGTAACTGTTTCTACTTCCGCAATGCCTTAGCTGGATGCTTGTACTTTCAAGATTTATGTTTTTTAGCTTAAAATTTTAACTGTTGAAGGCCATTTGACAATGTACCTTAACAATATTTTGTAGAAAACTTATTACAGTACGTGGGAACATTGTCACGTATTTGCACATGATTAAGTCTAATCGACCAAAAGTCATCCGAAGCTTTTTTTATGTTGAAAATTCATAAAAAACAATGTCTAAAAGTATTAACAATTCTCATGATTTTCTTATGACAAAAGTGAAATGAATGGCATTGAGCGGATTCCGCTTTCCCTAGGTCTCCTTCACTATACAAGGATCCCTCTTTACTATTTAAAAACTTCATCCTGGATATATTATGAGAAGACAAAGTAGGGAAGAAGTGTACCGCTGGTCTAGAAGAGTAATATGTGTCATAAATGGATGACAATTAGTTTCATTCGAAAAATCAAGTGAAAAGGGCACGCATGGGAAAGACCCCCATTTGGTTTGTATCGGGTGTTGCAGTCAAACATGATTGCAATGCCATCGATTTGGTGTACACGCATAATTTTGTTAAACATATGAAATATGTGGTTAATTACTTGGACATTTCTTCTCAGGTGTTAAAGAATTTCCTTTATACTGCTGAGGCTGAAGTCAAGTCTCTCACTACTCTTTATATTGAAGTGGTTAGTTTTCCTGCATTCATTATGTCATATTTAATACTCCTGGAAGTTTGATCCATGTCATGTTTGCTCATTGTTCTATCTCGTAAATCTACAGGGAAGGAGTGCAGACTCCCTGTCCCTGTATTTTGGCGAGGATCCAGCTCGATGCCCCTTTGAGCAAGGTTGGAAATATATATGATATAATTTTCTTGCTGTGTTATGAGTCATCTGGGAAAAAAAATAGTCTTGTAGCTGTTTGGCGCAACACTTGGTAATATAGCTATTTTAGTAGGGGTTATCAGTGATACAATTTTTTTAGTAGTTCAAGTCTTTAATGTGAAGACTATGTGATGCACAGTGTATGTCTCTTTCCTATGATCTGTTGTCAGGTTGATGCCACCCTTCTTTTCTCTTTGTCTTTTGTAGAGCATCTGTTTAGTGCATATTGCCATTGGCTGGATTTTTCGAATTGCATTTGTCCTGGGGATCTTGTTTAGTTCATGTACACTATTTAAATCAAGAGTTGTCTGTTCAACCAATGTGAAAATTGCTTCAACAGATTTCTCCTAGTGTAGCAACTTCTTAACCAGGCATATCAATAAATAGCATTTTGATCTACGTCACAAAGTTTGACGGTCTTCATATCTTTTAGTGTGAGTGATGCATATGTTTACTTTCTGGATGCAGTGACACAGATTTTGGTGGTCTTCACCAAGATGTTTAAAAAATCACGCGATGAGAATGAACAACAAGCTGATGCTGAAAGGAAGAAATTGGAAAAGGAAGCCTTGAAGGAACAAGCAGCCGCTAGTTCTTCTGGAAAGAAAGAAGTTGATGCTGATCGAATAAAACTAAACTTTCGAAATCAGTTACATGCTGTATGATCAGTTCAAATTGACCAAGCTTACTATACTCCATAAGCCGACAGAGTGTATACGGAGAACAGTTCATAATCGGGTAAAAAAGATTTACATTCTTGATGATAGCAGCCTTGGAAGGCTTTGCTCAAACAAGTTGATGCTAGTGTACTTCAGTGTTAAGTTTTATAGTTAGTTATATATGTACATAATTACCACAGTTTTATTGGCATTTTTCTTGTCATGTAGAATCGCGCAGCGCTGCCATGATTACTCCTATTTTGTATCCAGAAGAAAAAAATTGACACACCTCAAAATTCGAGAGGTTTCCAAGTTGTACATATTGAAGTTCCATATCCGTGTATATGTATTTAAAGGTGATTTCTTTTTTACTATAAGCTGTGTTTCATGGTAATGGGAGTTTTAAAAAATGATGATGATGGAAAAAGGATCATTTCATAAATTTTATTGATATAACAAATTCCTCCTTCGTTTTGTCGTATCTCTCTCTCTCTCTCTTTCCAGCTAACTCAATGTAGATCATTTAATTTATTGGTCGATTTGTAAGATGATCCAAGCTGAGATGATGAGTTCAAACGCTATTCTAATATCAAGTTTGCCTTTGTTCACACAGATCTTATTAATGAAGTGGAAAAATTGTATGTAATGAAGTGACATCTATAAAGGTTGGACCTTCAATCTTTGGATCGAATCCAAAAAATTGTTGTGAGAGTAAAGCCATGTATGGAGGTTTCCATTTGGCATGTACTCCAGCACCAACGCTTTAAAATCAAGGTTAGCACAATCTACTTATCACCTTAACAAGATTTCTATGGCGAATGTTACGCAAAACCTCACACTCCAAATCAAACTTTTACAACATCTATGAGTGTTCCCCTGTATACTAAACCAAGGCCTCCCCTGCCACGAAAATGGTTGTTGTGAGCACGTGATTTTTGCCTCACTCAAATATTCCTATAGAATTCTTAAAATTAGGATTTTTCTTTTATTATTTGAATTTTTAGGAATTAATTGCATGATTTTGTGTTTTGTGTGCATTTTTAGTTGTCATAAAAAATTTACAAAATAGTATACTTGCATTTAGGACCCAATTCTAGATTGTTAGATTAAATAACACTATTGAAAATAAGAGAAATAATTAAAAATAGTCTTTTGTATTGTTTACTTTAATTGTGATTTTTCCTTAAGTTTTCTTTTTGAACTAGGATTTGTTTGATTTTTGAGAAGTAATTAGTTTTAATTTCAGAGTTTGAATCAGGTCTTGTCTATTTTAATTTTGTACTTGATAAATCTGGAAAAAAAATTAAATAAATATGGAAGAAAAGAAGAAAACAAATAAAGAATTAAAAAGGGGATTTTTAGCAATTAATAGGCTGTTAATTTGTTTGGGCTATTTGGTAATTCCAGCCAAAACCCCTCCCAAATCCGGCCAAAATGGCCCAGAATCCGCCCTTATTCCCGGTCCAAGCGACCATAGCCCTTGAGACCAATCAAACGACGTAGTATAGGAGGGATACTACGTCGTTTTTGAATTAATGAATACCAAATCAATCCAACCATCCATCCACTCTAATCCAACGACCATGGTTCAATCTTGATTATTAAATTAAATGTGTCCCGTTTTTTTAGAAACCCTAACGACAAATTCACACTTCCTCGTACCTCTCCTGCCCCTTCTCGTCTCCGTCACCGCCTCCGACTTAAGCGCCGGCCGGAAATCGCCTCCGCCGGCGGCGATGCTCCGATGATCCCCAAAAATACACCCTGGTGCTCCTCCTTCTCCCCATAGAACCCGAACTTAGTTTTTTCCCAAAAGTTAGCAAGCTTCTTGAATATCCAAATCTGTGGCCGCCGCCTCCGCGCCCACAGCCGGTGCCACGCCCTTTATTCTTTACCAAATTAAACATACACTCCCCTCACCCCTCTCTTTCCTAAATCCACAACTAGTACCCTCTAAATCTCACTGGTCTCTCCTCAAATTTTAAGATCGAAGTCTGGCCAAGAACCCCTAATGCATGCAATTGGGGATAAAGGGTTTTCGGGCTATAATAGCCCTTAATTAGGTGTTTTCTTCTTCATGAGAAACACCTAATTAGGATGATTATAAGTCGAATTTGTCAAAGAAGGGCCCAGTGGATTCAAGTCGAGGGTATTTTCATCTTTCATTTTATTTTCTTTCTTTTTCTTGTTGTTTTTTCTGTTCTTTGCTTCATGATTTTTGTTTTCTTAGTTGGTAAGTTTTTCGTCTTAATTGGATCTTTTTTCGTCATGAGTTTTCAATTCCCCTTTAGCCCAATTTTTTGTTCATGACTAATGCTTTTGATTGTTTTTTAGATTCCTGTTCATGTAACTGTTTTTATTTCTCTTTAGTTTTAAGTTTTCGTTTGATTATGGTTATAAGGAGTTAATCCTGTTTGTTCGATTTCTGATTGCAGTATAATTCCTATTTCGATGTGTGTTTTGTATCAATTCAGCTTTTTATTTCTATAGGTTTAATTATTCTTTAATCCTTACGGCCAATCCTATTAATCAGTGTTTGAATCTTTAAAGCTGTTTGTTTTTTAGTGTTAGTTCCAATTAGTAATTCCTTTTATTAGTTTAGATCAATATTAAAGTTTTAGGTGATTTGGGATATAGCTGATTAGAGTTTACTTGGTTTCAATTCATGGTTAAAACTTGATCAACAGAATAGGGTTGGGTCAATTGACATTGAGGTTTGGTAATTTCCAGAATTACAAGTTTCAGGGGTTAATGTTAGGTATATCAGGTTTGGGTAGGAATGCTGTAGTTGAAGCTAGACCTTCTAAGATCTTCTAAAATAGGGCTTAATTGACAATAGTCAATAAACTTAGGGCCAGTAACTTGAGAAAAACGTCAGAAAATGTAAGGACTACATATAATAAAAAACTGAAAATAAAAGAGGGGAATACAGGAGGTAAAGTGAAAAATTCACTGGAAGCTTCCCTCATTTTATGCCTATAAAAAGGCAGGTCCCCTTGCCTTCTTTACCAAGTTTTTTAGCACCTGAATTCCCCAAAGAAGTTTTGTAAACATCTGAAAAAGCTTGCCCAAATTTTACAGCTCTAAAATTTTCCCAAAACCTTCCTGCAAGGACAGCAATCCAAAGTTTGAATTTCAAATCAAAAGAAGTTCAAATACACTGAACTCTTATAGTTCAAAATATTCTCTTAGATTCATTAGTTCCCTTCAAAAAATCAAAAAAAAGAAAAGGAAAAACCAGTAGAAACTCAAAAAACACTGTATAATTGAATTCCTAGGCTTATTTTGAAGCTCTAAGTCGTTTGATTCTCATGTCTTATTTTGTTTCTGGCCCGACTTTTAAGTTTGCTGAAGCTTCAGAAGTGTCCTGGGTTTCAACTTCGAGTTAATTTTTGGCGTGTATTGACGATTTTGTTGTTTTCATTGATTGAAATTGTCTGAGGTGGTTGACTATTGCTTTCTGAGCTTGTGAGCCCTGATTTCTGTTAGCTGAAACTGCGTCGATACTGCTGATTCCTGTTGCTGTGATTTGCTGTTTGAATCTGCGCTGACCTTCCTCTTTTCTTTTGTTTAACCTTACATTGCCAGGTACCATTCTCGATACACTGATATTTTGATGTAGCTTTTGGAGGTGGAAATAATAATAAAATAATATTCCTTGAAACTGTACCTGTTTGGAACTGCCATGACTCCATAGTTGATTAGATTGTTAAATGATATGTAATTGTTTAGTGTAGAATTTAATTTTGATTTGTATATACATAAATCTCGGAGCTGTACTAACTGATGGACCTGAACCTGGACATCGTTTTCGAAACTAGTTTAAATATTTTTGAGATTAGTTGTAAACGCCATTTCCATAACATCATGAATGTCTGCAAAATGTAAAATGTTAGATCTAGACTCTGTAAAGGATTCTAGGATCATGAAGTAAAAAGTAATGAATAATGCATGCTATGTAAAACGTTGTTTTCGTATTAAATTATTGGAAATAGTCTGTAGCTTTTGATCTCAGGTTGACTACTTGCATGATATCAGTTTCGAAGTGTTTCTTTGTCAAATTGCTTATGGCATTATGGATATCAAATCAAACTTTTGCTGGAAATTGGTTCAGGAACTAGCTAGGATTTTTCGTTGCAAGTTTTATAATGTTAAGAGCACATAATTTAAGTCCAATTGGTTATCAGAATTTCGATCAAGTGATGATTCTTTAATTGAGTTTTAAATTGATATTGAAATATAGTTCATCCTTATTTAATGTCTAAAAAATGCGAATGAGTTGTGGATCATACCACAATTAACTCCAGATTTTACTTTTTTTGTGTTTGGAATAAACTACTAGGATCCTTGATTATACCAATATCGATTTCGTTCATGCTCATGATATTTGGGCCATGTACTAGGCCCAAAGCTTGGCCTGCTCACCCAATAAACAATTTGGCCTTTGTTAGTTCCAGGAATAATTGTCACCACTGGGATGATGCTGAAGCCCATTTCTGAAAACTAAATACATTCTTTGGGTTGATTCTGCAGCCTAAATTACTGAAGTGCCTATATCACCGGTCAAACTAAAAATTTGGGCTTTCGAGTTAGGTAGCGGGTTCAAATTAAGAGGTTCTCCCTTTTGTTTGAATCTGGACTTGAACTTGAAGCCCGAATTTTGTAATGCTAATTAATTAGGCCTTGTTAGAGACAAATTCAATAGAAAATCATAGTTTGCTTTAGGATATCCTTAAAATAATCGAGGCGCGCCCCGCCAAATAAAATGCATAAATTGCGGGGCCCTCTTTAAATGTTTATTTTAAAATATGTAGAATTCGGGACATGCCATTTAGCGAATTTCCATAGCCTCCCGCAAAGTTAATAACACCTTAGTCGCTTTAGGTGCACTTTTAATAATTGTACCTTCCTAAATACGGGTGTGCATTTCATGCAACCCAAATCCAAATCCCAAAACGTTGAATAAAAATGTGTCGAGGATCCGGGTGCATTTCATGTGACGTGATCCAAAAATACGTTTTTAAACGATGTTCACTTTCTTAAATTTTTTAATTAAAAGCGATAAATATTTTTAAAATTGCACTATAGGATGACATGTATAAAAATCAGATTTTAGCCATTTATAATAGTTTAAGCGACCGTGCTAGAACCACGGGATCCGGGGGCGCCTAACACCTTCCCTCGGGTCAACAGAATTCCTTACTTAGAATTTCTGGTTCGCAGACTCCAATTGGGAAGTCGAAAATTTTCCTCGATTTGGATTCAAGTAAAACCGGTGACTTGGGACACCAAAAGCCAAACCTATCCCAAGTGGCGACTCTATAACTAAATAAATAATCCCATTTCGAATAATGTCACTTTAAATGGAAAAACT